GTCTACTACCTAACTCCGCCAAAATCTGAAAAGGGTCTATATTGCTTGTCTACTGCCTATAAAGCGCATAACTGACAGCTAATGTTCCCATTGGATTTAAAACCCTCTACTTACTACAAACATTGAAATCTTCATACTTCCACACTTTACAGTATACCCAGTGCTGTACGAGGAGCCACCACCAGAAACATCGATCTATCCGAACATTCCTTCCTACGATGCTCCACCAGTTGAGAATGGACGACTTCCATCGGTGCGTATTTTTGGGCCTAAACTTGTTGTTAACTGCAAACATAAAATCTGAACGTTTACACTTTCATATCACATTAGTGCGTCTTTCCATATTGCATATGAAAAGACTGCTTTTATGATTCCTCTTTCGAGCTCTCGAAATTTTACTGTAAAATTACAGATTGGAAAAATGACTGCTCAGTTCGATTTCAAACCGGTTGGTCCGAATCAAATTCAGATAACTGCGGGAGAGAATTTGGATTTGATACAGGTAACTTGTGTAATAGTGTGTTACGAATGGTAGGCCTTACCTGGTGTTCAGGCACATGATGACGGCGGTAATCCAGAATGGATTTGGGTGCAGCGACTAGATGGCGAACACGGCTTTGTGCCAGCTGCTTACTGTAAGGCGATGTAGTTCAATATAGTTCGAAAAAGCTTCTCCTTTTTTACACTCGATGCTCCATATGCATTATGTTTTTTCATGCCGTATCCCTAGTTAATTACTTAATTTCTCCTTGACTTACCTAATTGTATTCTTAGTTTTTCAAAGAATATTATACAGATCGTTTATAAATGAAAAATGCCCCATCGTTGCCCCCTACTTATATATAGTGGTGCTGCTCAGTGAGATTTTCCCGATGAAATAACTTACTATCCTTTTCTCTTCTGTGATATAGGTATCTGGTTAGCTCGCTAATTTTTAGTCAGATTTTACAATTTCATTGTTATTGCGCTTCTCCGGGTACATTATCTTGTCCCCATTGTCCCCGATATTGAATCTGCTTGCAATGACTGCATAATTTGTAGGTTTTCTAAAATTCTCAGATAGTCTTTATGGTTGCCATTGCAGTGTTAATCTCTCTCTCTCCTCTGCATGTCTTAGTTTTCTGTAAACGAACTGCTTTGTACCGATTTTGTGGTGCTGTTTTATAGAGACTAAGATGGAGATGTGCATAATTGCTTAAGTTATACATATGAAATTTTGTAATGCTTCATTGTTGAATGTTTTCACTTTGACAAAAATACGTGAATATGACATTACAAGTGATGAAAACATCTATGGAATTGGACTGAAGTGGCAGTCTGAGATGACGTAAACTCAGCCTTCGGTACCTAAGTTCTTATTTGAGCTTATTGGAGGGTGAAATCGGAGAGAAACGAAAGCATCAGAAACCTTTGCACTCAGATTCACATCATTCTAATCAAATACTAAAAATGCTCAGACTTGTCAGGCTCGGCATCGCATTATTCCTCTGTAGAAAAATCAGTTATTTTGAACCATATCGAAGACGATTGTGGTTTTAGAGTAGTGACTTTTTGGAAGTACCTCGCGTTTTAACAACATGTTTTTACATAAAAGCATTATTCTTGAGCAAGAAACAATTTTTCCAGGTTGCTTCAAATGAGTTTGCGTTCGAAAATAGCCTAGGAAACGTGCACTACCATCTCCCTCTGCATTGTATATAATTAGCTCGCTCTACCAGGAGACTTCTACATGTAGCATTCACGCTATCCAATATCCTGAGATGGGAATTTGTATAACTGGCGTATAATTCCCTTCCAATGTCGCTATGGGAACCAACAATCGAGAGAATGTTGCAAGTTGTTGCAGTCACGCGGCTTTGGTAGATACGATTTTGTAGTTCTCTTTGTTATCTTCTCTTTATAAAATGCTCATAAATTCTGCATTTTTTATCTGCTTTGAACTGTTGAATTTTGTAAGAAAAATATGTATCCAGATATTCTCCATATCATCTGAAAGCGTTTTTCCTCTAGCTCCTGTATATGTCTTAGATCCTAGTTCATTTTGTATCATATTAGGTTGGACCAAAAGTTCGTTCGCACCATGTTCAAAAATTCATAAGATCTTACTTTATTGAAAAATTTGCACAAATTCAATTTTATTTGAAGACTTTATGATTTACAACAGGTCTTAGAAGACTTTCTCACACGAAAACATTGGACAGAAGCTATCCAAGAGGATTACCCAGTTTTCTATTTTTCTCTGCAGGATTGCAAAAAATCTGAAACTTGCACTAAAAGTGGGACAAATTACAACTTTCGTTGAAAGTTCGCAATCACAAAATTTTTTTTTTGAAATTTAAAGA